TGCGCTGGCCTGGGGCGGAGGGGAGCTCTGTGAGCTCCCGGGAGCGGGGTCTCGACGGCAGGGTTCTCCCTGGCTGGGGCAGGGGGCGGGCAGCGGACCGCGATTGCTGGCCGCTGATGGGCGCTAACCGGATCTGCGGAACCAGAGGGCGCGGTGAGTCACGTGGCATCCTGGGCCTGATTCCTCATCGCGAGATGGGCCTGCAAGCCGCTCACTGAGGCGAGGCTCTGCGGCCCGGGAGCCCTCTTGGCACAGCCTCCGGGGCCTTGGGCATCGAGGAATCACGAAATGACCAGAGACACCAGGGGAGTCTCGGAGGGTCCCTCACTGTGGCGGGTCGGGGTTTGCAGACTCAGAGCTGCAGCGGCCGCAGGTTTCGTGAGAGAGAGGCAGGAGAGCCTCGTGGTCAGAAGCAGGTGTCTGGAGACAGACTCACTGGCTGTGTGACCTTAGGCAAGCTACTCAACCTCCCTGTGCCTCGGGCTTCTTGTCTGTGAAATGCGGATGATGGCAGCAGTCACTTCACAAGCTCGTGGTGAGGGCAGATGCCGTGGCCCGGTGCCTGGCGCTGAGCAAGCCCCGCCAGGGAGCACTCAGGGAAAGGGCAGTGGATGCCCAGGGCCAGTGACCATCACTAAGGCCTCGTGCTGCCAATTTCTCAAGAGAAGCAGGTTTTCATGTGAAACCTCCTGGGTTTTAAAAATACTAGCAACAGGCAGTGGTGGGAAACTGCCAGGGGAGGGGCACACCTCATCAACAAGGGTCCTGCATAATGAACGTTTGTATAACCCTGAATTGTATTCCACATCCTTAAAATAAAACTAATAAAAACAAGAAAGGAAAAAAAAATACTAGCAACTGGCCAGGCGCGGTGGCTCAAGCCTGTAATCCCAGCACTTTGGGAGGCCCAGGCAAGAGGATTGCCTAAGCCCAGAGGTTCGAGACCAGTCTGGGCAACATAGTGGGACCTCGTCTCTACAACAAATCAAAAAATTAGCTGGGCATGGTAGCATGGCCCGTAGTTCCAGCTACTTGGAAGGCTGAGGCGAAAGGATCACCTGAGCTCAGCAGGTCGAGACTGTGGTAGTCACGAGCACGCTACTGCCCTCCAGCCTGGGCAACAGAGTGAGACTCAAAAACAACAAAAAAAGAATACTAGCAACTAACTTAATATTTTAAAATGCACTGGGCTAACAGTTGGCAAATTCTGGTGAGGGCATACCATGAGCCAAGGGTTCCACGGTTAATAAATTTGAGACACATTGAATTGAACGCAGTACAAGTCTCTCCCTAGAGACCTTGTCAGAGCCTTTACAACTCCCAAAGGCCGGTGGATCTCTGAGAGGGGGTCCACAGTTCACTCGGCCACTCTTGAAGCCTTGGCAGGCGTGCCTGGGAGCCAGGCCCCGCTGTGCCCTCCTCAAGGGTCAGCATCTGACTGCAGGGACGCTTCTAGAGGGACACTTCCTTCAACACTCAAGACTTCCGCTCCTGTCCCGGCCCCCCGACCCTCCCTTCCATGAGGGCGCAGCGCCCTCCTGTCCTAGAAAGGATACTGTTTTCCGACAAGGGGATTTTTTCTCCCCGCTCGTCGTAGAGCTCCAGGCCGGTGAGGCCAATGTAGTAGGGGTCACCCCAGCTGGTCAGGAGTTGGAACTGGAAAATAACTGGGACACGCGTTCAGGAAGAGAGGCTGGGCTTCAGAGAACAGAGTACAACCGTGCCGGAGAAAAGAGGGATCTCTCACTCATATTGATCAAAGAGAAAATGCTTCTTCTCTCACTGAGACCAAAGCCTATCAAGACCTACGTGGCATCCAGGGTCCTCTAAACTGTGTGTGTGAAGAACGCAAAACCTTTCTCCCGCCCCAGGAGACAGGGTTCCCAGAGACAGGGCGAGAAGGTGCTCTCCAGGGGGTCGGCAGGACCAGGAAGCATTTGCGACACAAGCTCACCGTGTGGTGTTGAACAGACCACCCGCGGGCCCTGTGCCTCAGTTTCCATGGTTGTAGAATGACGAGAACTGAGTACCTGGCCTCCCCTCTGTCCCTCTCAAGTGTGGGGGGCTCATTAAGAGGGACGGGGTGGGCCTCACAACACCAGGGGCCAGAGCAGAGGCGGGGTGCCCTGCCACTGCTAAGTCCCACACGTGCAACTTCCTCGGCTCTGTCCCCGGCTCACTCCCCGCACTCCCAGGAGAGGCAGGGCAGGAGGCTCCCAGGCCAGGGCATGGCCAGAGGCAGTGCCTCCGGGGAGCCGGCCGGCCAGAGAGCCAGGCCGCCCGGGTTCACCCACTGGGTCCCCCGCTTCCCAGCTGTGGAGTCTTGGCCTCGGTTTTCCCAGCTGTGAAATGGGGGAGCTAGCAGTGTCCACCCGATGGGGCTGGGTAAGGACTCCATTAATGCGGGCAATGCACTGAGAAGGGCCGGGTCTGCTCTCCAGTCCTCCCAGCTGGAGTCCTGGGTGCCGCCTCTTGTGGCCTCAGCCTGCCAGAGGCGGGACAGCAAGGATCCCCCAACCCAGCAGCACCCCGCAGGCCCGAGGACCTGCTGGCGGGAGGGAAGGATACAGCCGCAGGGCATCAGCGGGGCCTCGTAGTCCATGCTCGCACGCTCCGGGCTCTTCCTGTCCAGCCTGAGAACACACAGACGGCACCCTGAGGAGATCCCGTGGCCCGGAGCCCCTGGCCAGGCATCCCCAGGCAGCCGACTGGAGAAATACGGCGGCTTAGCGTGCCCTGGGACGCAGGTGGGAAAAGACTGGCGGGGCCCTGTCACGTGGAGTCCTGTTAGATGACCATCACCACCACAGCTGGTGGCAGGCGCCCTGGAAGGCGGATCTTTTCACTTCCCTGGGCTGTGAATGTACACAGAGAATGAAGCCACTTCCTCAAGGCCATGCAGCTGGCAGGTGGCGACACAGGGGTGTGACCCGAGGTTGTCAAGCACCGCTGCCGTTCTCTTGGCCACCCCCATTCTATGCCACCACGGATGAGGACAGTCCACACTGTGCCCAGGACAAGGTGAAGGGGCAGAGGGACTGGAGGGGCAGACTACCTCAGGGGTGGTCTGGGAGGGCTGCACAGAGGAGGCAGCCGTGGGAAGTGTCAGAGCTGAGCCTTCCATGCAGAGGAGCAAATGGTGAGAAAGAGCTGAGCAGTTGGCATTTGCCCCCGAGAGCAGCCAGAGGACTGGGCGGGAAGGAGAGTGGCTGGAAGGTGGAGGGCCCTGCAGCTTCATGACCCAGCAGCCAGGGCCGCCTCTCTCACCTCTCTGTAAAGTGGGCATAATACGCCTTATTTCAAATGGCAGCTGGAAGGAATTCCCCGAATGCAGAACAGTTGGCAGGCCCCGAGGAGAGAGCGGTCTCCTCCGTGGTCCACCCTACCAGGCTCTCTCCCTGGCCACGGTGGGGCCTCCAGCCACAGCCCGTTTCTCCTCCATTTCAAGGGCCAGGCTACAATTACCTGACGGCTCCCAGTGCCCGGCCCGAGGAGCTGTGCCCGCTACAGTGGAGGGAAAGTCATTTTGCTTCGAGATTCTGGCCTCTGGCGTTTGGACCTCGGGGGCTTCAATGGGTAAACTTAACGTGGCATTTACAAATCATTATGAACTTAATGCAGCTGAGACGGGGCCAAGAAATCCCAGTGAATCCATGAAATATGAGGCTCTGTTTTTCTCTGAGGCTTTCTAAATCAGGAACACAGAAACAAGGGAAGGAGAGCCCTTCCCGAAGTGGCCAGTGGGCATTTCTGGAACAGCGGCAGGTGGTTGCCTCTTTTCCCAGCAGGAAGCGCAACGAGGCATTTAAAACCTTAAGCACTCCAGACTGCGAGAAACCCAAACATCCCCGGACGTGAGCAGCTCACTGGCTTCCTGAGAGGCTTGGCTGAGCTTTAGAACACGGCCAAGTTGAAAAGCAGCACGTTTGATCACAGTTTCAAACCCTGCGGTGTGCACACTTCAGAGCGCCCGCCAAGCTGGCGGGCCCGGGCCCAGGGCTGCGCCACCGCCCCGCTCACCTCCTGGCCGGCGCGGGCAGCCGGGCCTGCTGGTGGTCCACAAACAGGATCTCCTGCGCAAAGTCGAAGTGGCAGTTGCCTGGCCCCTTCCGGACGAGGAAGCCCTCTGGGGGGGACAGGCGCAGGCCGTCCAGGGAGACGTGGACGATCTTGGCCTGGGAAACAGAGAGGCAGTGCGCCTGAAGGGAGGAGGGCCGTGCAGCAGAGTGGCGGGCAACGTCACCACGGGGAGCGTAACCTGGCCTGTCTCCCAGGCCGGAGCCACCTGGCCAGGGTCCACTTCCCAGTGTCAGCCCTGCTCCTTGTCAGGTGCTGTGCGGGACTCTGGGCCGACAGCAGAGGACAAGGCAGGCGAGGCCCCTGTGGACACGTTCACACGTTCTCCGGTCCCCGAGGTTCAGGGTGGCATGTGACTTGGCCAGGGCCCCACCCACCTCCCCAACGCAGGGGCCTGAGTCAGTGTGACATGCTGGCCAAGGGCAAGGACTCGTGTGCTCCGAAGTCCACCACCAGGAGCAGTGTATGCTACATAACTTCCTTGTTCCTCAGTTTTCTCATCTGGCAAATGGGGACAGTCATGAGTGAACATAAAGTGGCCAAAACACCCTGCTCGCTCGCCAGCGCCTCCCCGGGACCCTTCCCTAGGACAGGATGGGACTCCTGCTCTTTCCCCTCACTGCACTGGGCCTGTACTTTTGGGCATGTGTGCCTAGCAGTGTCCTCAGTGGTTTCTAAGTCTCTCATGGCGCAGGCCCCGGCTGGACCGTCTCCCTGTCTGCCTCGGGGCCTGGAACACAATAGGTGCTTACTAAGAGCTTGCTGAATTCATGTGGACGTGGGCCAACATGGCCCCTGTTCTAGCCGGAGTTCTCTAGCCAGACAACCAGGGTCCTCCGGTGCATCTCACAGCCCAAATGGTGAACGCAGGTGGCCCAGCCACCAGCCGGGTACAGGCGGGACTGATGACAGAGCTCGGAGCAGTTTCTCCTGATGCCTTACCCTTCTCAGCCAGTGCCTGGCATAGCTGCCAGCCACATGGGGGCTCTCCCTTAGGGAGAGGCAGGGGGTGCTTTTGCAGGAGGAGGAAGGAGGGGCCCGCCCTGGTCTTGTGTGCCCCAGGGCCCTCCATTCCTCCAGCCCCTGCCTGTCACTTGTGGGACACATACACCTGTGACAGGCAGGCTGGCTGGCTTCAGGCACGGCTGTCACCAGAACCCGGTCTTGTCGCTCTACATTTCTCTATCTGCCTTCCTCAGGGCTGATTCCCAACCCAGTCCCAGAGCCGACTAGAACAATCAGCGCGACCCTGGGGTTTGGCTGGCTCTCCTGGAAGTTCTGTCTTCTGCGGAGCTTAAAGTTAGTGGGATGCAAGCCTGGAGCGGCTGCCCCGGACAGGGCCACCCAAAGGTGGATCCAGAAATAGAGTAGAGGCCCGGGAAGCTCCCAGCCATCCTCCAGGGCCAACACCTCCTCCAGGAAGCATCCCTGACCTCCCCAGGCAGAGCTGGTCCCTGTCCGCTGCTCGTTCTCATGGACGTGCCATCCTGCCATCTCCTTTATCTCCCAGGCCCTGGTCACTGGCATCAAGGCCGTTGGGGCCCAAACTGTGAGGCAGAAACTCTCTCCAGCGTTTCCAGCTGGTGAATCTGGGTCACAGAAGCTCAACTGGATAGACTGCAATTTGCCCAAAGGGCCTCAGCATGGGTACACGCAGGGCTCGGCTGCTTCGCGGGGCCACCCGGGCTCGGTGGTCAGCGCCTGCTACTTGCAGAAGGAAACAGCAGCTCGCGCTCCCCCTGGACATGCCTCCTGGCTCCATTTGGAAGGTTCTGGAGGATTTATGCTCCTCTCCGGCAGCCACACCAACCATTCATCAAGGCGCCGCTTCCCTGACAGTGGACGGAGCGCTGCAGTGCCCGGCTTACCCCTCGGTAGGTGTCCTCGGGAGATTTATTGTAGTTCCAGAAGCGAAGGCCTGCTATGCTCTCGGCTCTGTCGAAACGGATCGTGACCACGTGGTCCAGGCCCGGAGAGAAGGGGATCAGCCACATGTGCTCGTCTTCCGTGGTGATGTTGGCACCGTCGATCAACCTGCACCAACAGAGGCAAGGTGCCCAGTGGGCACGGAGGTCACACGGGCTCTACTTCGCGCCTCCCCGGGCGTCCCCCACCCGCCTCAGGCTTCCCAGGGGAGGTGTGGCGATTAGAACAACACCGAGGAGTCATCTCTCATCTGGGAAAGCGGACACAGCTCGTAAAAAGAAAAAACATGTCCTATGCTGTTAAAGATGCCGTGAAGCGACCGCCAGGATTTCAAAAAGAGAAAATGTGGCACTTTTCGGGATCCTTCGAGCCAGGGATCTCATTTCTGGGATTTTTTTCCCCCCTAAGGAGCATTCATTCAACAAGTTGGAAAGGCTGTCTGCACCAAGATATTCATTAGAGTGTTATTTATACTGGCTGAATAAATAAGCTAAAAGTTCTCGGAAGCAGGGAAACGGTTAAGTCCATGTGCACAGGGGCCAGCGTGGCTGTCCTGAGGATGCCATGGCCACAAGGACCAGGCAGGCCACAGGACTGCGGGGACACTGGTTATGATGCTGTGAAATGAGGACAAGGGCCGGAGAGGCTGTGCAGACAGGAAAGGCACATCTGGGAGGCGGATATTTTTCTCGGTTTTCCAGGCTTTCTGTGAACGGCTGTGTGGACGCCCAGCGTACCTGGCAAGGCATGCGGCCCTCCTTCCGGCGCTGGGGAGAAGGTACTAGAGCCGCAGGTGACCGCCAGCCCTTGGCTTGGGACAAGTTCAAGGGGGCCAGTGATCTGGCCAGACCGTGCTCTGTCACCGCATGCCTGGGCACCCCAGGGAAGCCCCTGCGCTCAGGAGGGAGCCCCAGCACCTTACGCTCTTCCCAGCCACAGTTCCCCCAGCCCACTGCACTCCTGTCCTGGTCAGCTTCCAGTTCTCTGCTTGGGCCTCCCGCCTCATCCTCGTCCACTCTGATTGTGTCTGTTTCAAGGACCACGCTGCCTCTGGCTGCCCTGGCCTGCCCAGAGGCCTGGCTGGGAGGGGGCCCACTGTCAGCCCTGAGCAAGCCCCTGCCTCTACCCCACCTTCCCGAGCGCCCACCCACCCCACACCTGGACTCCCGATGCCCTGAGGCTGCCGTACTGAGAGAGACTCGGGCTGTGCCAGGCTTCCTAGAGTTTAAAATAAACTTTGTTTTTCCTTTTGCATTCTCAAGGCTTGGATTTGGAATAAATCTTACAACCTAAGTGTTCATTCCGAGGAGGTAATGTTTCTTTTCCCTCTAAAAGGCTGTTATTAAATTGATGGATGGCGTGTCTCATACTTGCTGGTATCTTAAAACTGACGTAATTCAGCAATTCAGCACTGGAATGTTTGCAGGACTAAGCTGACTGAGGGCCGCCACTAGAGAATCTTATGTTTCCTTCCAGAAGTGATTATCTCTCTGTACTGGAAACGGGGCCGCCTCCAGAACAAAACTGCTGCCTAATCCTCCGGGCAGAGAGAAGTGCCGAGGCTCATGCGGCTGACCAGGCAGGGGTCCCTCTAGACGCCCTCAGGAGTACCTCAATGAATTCCCAGAAACTGTGACAGGCCCAGTGCAATCAGCATCCCTGGTGGCTGGATTATGGTCTCTAAATATCATTTCCCACCAGAAGAAAACCAGGACTTCTGGGAGAAATGGCTGACTCCAGGTCTGGGGCAAGAAACATACGAGACGAGCCCAAAACATGCCCTCGCATTGGAAGGGAAGAGAGACAATGTCTTTAAGAGGCCTCAGGAGCTCCCAGAGGCCGGGGGGGGGAGGAGAAGATATGAGCACCTGTAAGGGTCCCACCAATAAGGAACACTGCAGTGGCTGAAATGCCTCAAGCACAGTGCTGTCTGTTGAAATCCGTGGGTTTATAATAGCACTCAAAAGCAAACAGACACATTCTTTAGAGGATGCAGAGAAACAGTTTGTTCTTTTGAAAACTGAAAAAAGAAGTGGGGACTGGGAAGAGTCAGGCACTTAGATGCCTTTCCTGCTTGAATTGTATCACAGAGTGACCAAATCCTCGGGGAAATTCTCTCTTTAACACAGTGCTTTCAGCATATAAATGAAAAAACAGAATGTCAGGACTATACAATCATTGTTTCATAACTCCTAATGAATTGGTGGACCTAGTCTGAGCTTAACTGGCTGCCAACGACACAAGGAGCTTGAGAACCAGATGCTACACGTGTCCTGATGGCCACACACAAGCGACATCCACACGGCCATCCAGCCCTGACAGCTAAACTTCAGCCTAATCAGGCCTCTAGATCTAATTAATAATGACCAGAAATTCAGGGGACCGAGGACAGGCCACACACTACCAAAGAGATGCAGCCGGTAAAATCCAGACTCCACAAGGCAAAAAACCTGTTTTCTTCAATAGATGACGAACAGGAAAAAGACAGAGGAGCCCAGAGGCCTAAGACACATCAGCCAATCACAGTGCATGGAGCTTATCTGGCTCTCAATTCAAGTGCACAAACTATCAAAGAGGGGCCTGTGAGCCTGCTGGATGTCAGGTCATCTAAGGACTCTAAGGAGTTTAAAGTTCAGGTCATCTAAGGAATCTAAGGAGTTTAAAGTTCTCGTTGTTAGAGGTATATGCCGGCGTATTTAGAGATGAAATGCTATCAGCCTGGGGTTTGCTGCCAAGGCAGGTGGTACGGATGACAAGTGGGGCTGCGTGCCGATCGCTTTTCGGGTGGCTGGGAGCCAGGTCCACGGGCTCCAACCTGACGACTCAGAAGGGCGACCTGCCGGGACACAGCGGCCCACGAGCAGCCCACAGCAGCAGGGGTGAGGGCCATGTCTCAGGGCCACCTTGGAGGAAGTAGGAGGAGGGGCCTCACCGACTCCGGACCACTGGGGCCAAGCCAAGGGCCCAGGGTGTGGCTGCCATGGGACAGCCTCCTCCCAACCCCCCGTCATGGGAATGACACCCCCCTTCTGCTGACAAGGAGACCAAGGCAGGCATAACCAAGACAGCGTAGCTGGGTGGCTGATGATACGGATGTTGGGATCCCACAGGCTTGCATTCAGATCACAAGGGCCAGGTCACCAGTCTAAGAGGCCTTTTGGTCAGTTTTTATTTTTGTGCTTCATTTTATTTTTGAGTCAGGGTCTCACTTTGCCACCCAGGCTGGAGTGCAGTAGCATGACCATGGCTCCCCACAGCCTCGACCTCCTGGGCTCAGGCAATCCTCGTGCCTCAGGCTCCTGAGTAGCTGGGACTGCAGGCATGTGCCACCATGCCCGGCCTTGGCCAGTTTCTACCTTCTGTATCTGTTTCTCCATCAGCGAAACTGGGTGATAACTCTACTTTTCTCACAGGGCTATCTGAGGCTGCAGTGGACAAACATCTGTAACCTGCTTAGCATAGCCTAGTGCCTGGCACTTAATAAGTGCTCAAACAATGCAGTGACATGATCAGCTATTATCAGTTATGTATCATACACACAGTATCGATTACTATCAGCGATATGTCATATCAGTGATAATTTATCATTACTGTTATCAAGAAGAGGTTAAGAAACTTAACAGCTGCCATGGGCAGGGGTGGGATTTGAACTCCCATTCCTCTGACTCCCCAAGACTCCTTTCGCTCACACTCCAGGCAGCACCCAGACCCTACAGCTGTCCAGAGCGAGGCAGCTGAGTGCCAGCCTTTGGGTTACAGGGTCCCGGTGGATCTGTGCGAGGCTTATCCCTGATTGACTTGATCTGACCTTGGTTTATGAAATCTGACAAGTGCAGGGGAGAGTGCAGCCGCAGCCGCCCACGGAGACTTCCTCAGCCATCACCTCCAGCCTCTAGCCTCGGGAGGGGAGAGGGAGCCTGCAACCCCGGGAGGCCGGTACACTCATGTGTCATTGCAGAGCAGCCCTGAGTGCGAGGCACCGTGCTAGACACGGTGCGGTGGACACAAGCCTCAGCTGTGTCTGGAAGCATGAGACTGCCTTTGACCGCTGCCTGCTGCTTTCAGCAGTGTGGCCCTGAGAGGACCCCTCCCCCTCCTGAGCCTGGGTTTCCCTTGATCACATGATCAAGGGGGAGGTGACATATGAGATGCTATTTGATGCTTATGTGTGACCTCTAAGATGCAGAACAGGGTCTCCGAAGCCCTGTGGTCATGAAAAGTATGCTGCTGCTGCTTCTTTTATTTATTCAGTTGGAGTCTCACTCTGTGGCCCAGACTGGAGTGCAGTGGCATGATCATGGCTCACCGCAGCCTCAACCTCCTGGACTCAGGCGATCCTTCCATCTCAGCCTCCCAAGTAGCTGAGACTACAGGCACGTGCCACCACGCCCAGCTAATTTTTTATTTTTATTTTTGTAGAGATGAGGTCTCATTATGTTGCCCAGGCTGGTCTCAAACTTTTGGGCCCAAGCAATCTTCCCACCTCACCCTCCAAAGTGCCTGGCCCGTTAAGCCTCTTACAGACACTTACTTGTCCAGAGTCCGGGAGTCGTCGGTGCACTCGGGGAGGTCATTGAGGTCTCTGGGGGAGGCGGCGATCTGGTGCAGGTGGATGGGCAGAGCCTGGCCGTCCTTGCCCACCACCTCCAGGCCGGTGAGTCCCAGGTAGTGCAGGTCCCCCCAGGAGGCAGTGAAATTCAGCTGAAGGTCTGGGATAGGGAAAAAGCGGCCCGTGAGCATGGGAGGCCCTGGAGGCTAAGATGGAGAGGGGAAGAGGAACGAGATCCAGCCTCCACATTCTATTAACCTGAACCTAGACAGAAGTGATTTGAGGCTGGGTCTTCTCTACTGGCTAAAGGGACGAATGTTGAAACCTACATACCTCCACCCATCGGATCACTGGCTGCCCCTGTGGCTTCCCATACTGTCAGCCCAACAAGGCCTTCCCCATCTGACTTCTACCCACATCTCCAGCCTCACGGTGCACCATGTCTCTATTCCTCTCTCCCACCACGGGGCCTTTGCACAGGCTGTTCCTGCCCACTGGAACTACAGGGCCTGGTTAACTTGTGCTCAGCCTTCAGGTCTCAGCCCCCTTTCTCAGGGAAGCCCTCCTGACTTCTTTGACCAGGTTAAACCTCCCTTGGTAGCCCTACCTTGCCTCTTCCAAGCCCTGGTCACTGCAGTAATTGTGTGATCATTTGGCAAGTATTCATCTGCCCGGCCAGATGGGGAACTCCCAGAGGGAGAAACCCCATCCCTTGTGTCCCCAGAGCCTGCCTAGCACACAGTGGGAGCTCAGCACAGATGGAATGATTAAGCAAGTAACTAAACGGAGGCAGCGGCATCAGTCAGCCCTAGCGTGGGAAACTGACAGGTTATGCAAATGGGCTCCTATCATAAGGCTTGGGTAAAGGAAGGAACCTGTGGTGACGCCTCCATCCTTCTGCCTCTGCGCCTACCCGGGCCCCATCACAGACCCCTCAGCAGTGACCTTCTGGGGCCCTGGGGCAAAACAGCCCAGGTGAGTCACATATCTGCCCCGAGGAGTGCGCATACCAGATGCATCTCCTGGCCCGCCCTGCCAGCTAGCGGCTGGAACTTCTCTCTCCTTAATGTCTCCTGGTAGAGCAGGACCAGCCCAATGGACCCTTCTACCTTGGAGGACCTGTCACTCAGCACCCTTCTGGGCTGATGGAACGCCAGCACGGCAAAGCTGGCAGGAACAGGCCTGGGTGTCACCTGTCCCCCCGCCCCCAAGGCAGCTTGACGAGGCACTGGAAGCCCGAGACTGAAAGCTTCGTGGCTAGAAGGGGGCTGAGTCACCTAACCCCCTGGAGTGCGGCGTCCTCTCCTATGCCCCTGTCATTCTCCAACAGACAGACCACCTGTAACCCAGCCTGCAGAGCTTTCCCTTCCCGGGGTCAAGGTAGCGCTGAGCACCTCGGGGCAGAGGAAGAAGACCAGCAGGGTACCAAGCACGTCAGCTCCTCACAGCATCAGCCCTGAGCAAGACAGCTGCGGTTTCCTCCCATCCCCGTGCCCCTGCCCCTCCGCAGTGTGGCTTTGCCACTGATCCCACCCTGAGGAGAGTCTGCTTCTCTAGCCGACTCTGGGCCACGTGACTTGCTTTGAACCATGGGGCAGAGGCAATCGTGATGCGAAAGCGCGTCTGTTGGGGCTGGTCCTCTCTCTACACCTGGGGCTTGAAGCACCATGTGAAGCAGCCCTGCTCACCCAGCCGCCCGTCTCTGTGGCCAACAGTCCCCAGCTGCAGGACCTGCGGGTGAACACGTCCTAGCTCACTCAGCCACTGCTGTCCACCTGCCAGCTGATCAGACACATGAGCAGCCCTGGAGGAGGCAACCAAGCCGGCTCAAGTGAGAAGAACTGCCCAGCCAAGCCACTGAATTATGACCCAGTCATGACTAAACGGTGGCTGTGTTAAAACTAAATTTGGGGTTGGTCTGTCCAGCAGCAAACGCAAACTGATACACTCCTTGCCATCAGGGGTCTATGCTCAAATGCCATTTCCTGTCAGTGGGAGCTAAGCTGTGAATCTGCAAAGGCACACAGACTAGATAATGGACATTGGAGACTCAGAGGGCGGAGGCTGGGAGGGGAGGAGAGATGAAAAATTCCCTATCGGGTACAACATACACTATTCAGGTGACGGGGGCATTAGAATCCCAGATTTCATCACTGATACAGTTCATCCATGCAACCAAAAAACACTTATACCCCCTAAAGCTATTGAAATTTTTAAAAATTAATTAAAAAACCCAAAAAGCAGGCTGGGCATGGTCATTCACACCTGTCATCCCAGCACTTTGGGCATCTAATGGGGGAAGATTGCTTGAGCCAGAAGTTCAAGACCAGCCCAGGCAACACAGTGAGACCTCGTCTCTGCAAAAATATTAGCCAGGCATGGTGGCATGCACCTGTAGCCCCAGCTACTTGGGAGACTGAGGTGGAAGGATCACCTGAGCCCAGGAGGTTGAGGTTGTGGAGAGTGGTGATGACGTCACTGCACTCCAGCCTGGGTGACAGAGACCCCCAACTAAAAAAAAAAAGTCATCTCTTGAGAAGTCTCCCCTAAAAACCTGAACTCAGATAGCCCATTCCCATTGCTCTACACCCTCACCTGCCTGACTTTTTGTTGACAGTGTTTAGTGCTGCCTGACAATATATTCTACATTTATTTGCTTATTTGTTTTAATCAGTCTTCCCCACTAAGACGGAAGCTCCCGGAGGCCAGGCCTCTTGGTTTTGTTTATTGCTGTGTCCCCAGAGCCTGGAACAGTGCTTGACAGATGTTCAATGAAGGTTTTTATAAAAAATATAAATACCTCATTGACGGAAAAGTAGGTACTCAAAGATATCTGCAAATAAAGGAAGCAAAATAAAAGTATTGGGTTCCACCACACTCATAATCAATGGTAAGCGAGTATTTATCGACCATCTACTATGTGCCAGACCCTGTTTTTTGCACTGGAGCTGCCAGGATAAAGAACACAGCAAAACCTCTGAACTCAAGGAGCATACAATCTAGCAAAGGCTGTCCATAAACACATAACAAATACATAGATACTACAGTTCCAGAGTGACAAATACTAGAACAGCAACAAAAAAAATAGCAGCAGGACAGGGCATAACTGAGTAGGCACAGAGGTGGTCAGGGAGGGCCTCCCTGAGAAGGGGGCATCGGCACTGAGACCTCAGTGTTGAGGAGGAGCCAGCCAGGCTTTGCATTTCAGAAAAAACATTCTAGGCTGAGAGGAGAACAAATGTGACCCATAGCTGGAACCAAGTGGCCAAGCAGAAAATAGGACAAGAAAGTTAGGCGGAAATGAGGTCACATCATGAGGCTTGGATTTTCCTTCTTGCAATGGCAGCTGCTGGCAGGTGACCTTTTTAGCAGGGGAGTGGCGTGATCTGATCGCACCTTTTCTAGAAGGCTCCCTCAACAGGACTCTACGGGGAGACCAGGAGGAGGCTGACGCAATCCTGACATCCTGCACGAGGGTGGTGGGGGAGAAGTGACAGACTCAGGGTCTGACAGGTCAGCACTGCCAGGATTCTCAGTGGCCTGGGTACAGAAGGGAGGGACACAGAAGTGTGTGGCCGGGGTGACGCAGTGGCCGTGGGTGCCCTTCCTGAGATGGGGAAGGCCTCCAGGTGGAGGAGGAAGCGGATTTGGGGGAGTGGGATCCTGGGGGAGAAACGCCACCTCCCTCCGTGACAGCAGAAGAGATGGCAGCCGAGGTGCTCCCGAGCCTGCAGTCTCTTTGTCTGCCTGGCAAGCCGCACCACGACTCCATCTAATTTGGGACCGCTCCGAAAGCGATTACTCCCCTTTTCGAGCGAATACCCAACGTTCCATATTCATTTTCCTCTGGGGTATCAATTAGCATTTATACACATGGAAATTAATTTTGTTATTTCTCTCCCCTGTTTCAGCCCTCTCAGCTCCCCTCTTATTCATCACTGCTGATATTTGCAAAACTTCCAACATTAGTGTCATCTGCAAATTAGCAAGTCATGGATCCCTTTCAAAACATTAATAGGGCTGGCCGGATTTGCCAGCCCCCACGCGTTCCCCAGGGCCACGTTATTAAAGCTTTCTCTGTGTGTACATGCTAGCGGGCAGGCGGAGAGCTTGAAAACCCTGAGGCAGTAGCCAAAGGTTGGAGCGGAGATGCAGAAGTCACAGGCCTCGAAACATGCAGAAGGCGCTCGGTGGAGGGGCTCTTCTGCCTCCCTGCCGAGAGGAGCCGGGCAATGGCACTTTCCTTGCAGCAAAAGGTCTCTGAGCGCCGTTCCAGGGCAAAATTCCCAAAGACATGGAAATAGCTTCTCTGAGAAAGGCCAGGGACAGATCAGCAGGAAAGGCGTTCACAGACAGACCTCTGGGGACACCTACGAATCAAGGGGACAGCGACGCCCCTGCCCGGCCAGCATCCCCACCGGCTTCCTTCTGCTGGTCACAGCACTCCCACCCCTCTGGAGAACCACCCTGGGCTCAGTCCACACAGCCTGCAGTGCGGCTGGCCCCTCACCCAGGCCTGGCCCGTCTGTGGTTCCATCCCTCTCCCCTCTTCCCCCACCCCATGGAGAGTCACAGTGATTGGCTGAAGGATGGGCACGTGACCCCAAACAGACACACCCCCCCCCCCCACTGCCCTTTTCTATAATCTTTAGCATTTGTCCTCAAAACAGCCTAAAATATGGGTATTATAAGTTTTATATCTTGGATGAAATTTAAGAAATATAGTACCCTGATCAACTTCATAAAATTAAACATTTGCAAATTTAAAATTGAAGTCAAAATGTGTCTACCCCAAACCTATGAAGGTATATTGTAGACTATATGTAGTATACATGCATCACACATGCTGGAATAACTTATGAGGTATCCTCTCTATCAGATTAAAAAAATCAAATCAAGACACACACCTAACCTTCCTTCATATTTTCTGCCTTAAGGACAGCAATGCTGAGATGAAATCAGAGTCACATAACTGAATTCCTCCTTCTGGTACTGACCACTGACCCCCAAACAGCAAGTGTGGCTCTGTTCCAGTTTTCTGGTCATGTACCTGATCA